TGAACCAGCTAACTTCATTACTTAAGCTAGTTAACTTCATTACCTGAGCTAGTAAACTTCAGTACCTGAGCTAACTAACTTCATTACTTAAGCTAGTTAACGTCATTACTTAAGCTAATTAACTTAATTACTTGAGCTAACTAACTTAATTACTTGAGCTAACTAACTTAATTACTTGAGCTAACTAACTTGATAACTTGAGCTAACTAACTTCATGACCTGAGCTAACTAACTTCATGACCTGAGCTAACTAACTTCATTATCTGAACCAGCTAACTTCATTACTTAAGCTAACTAACTTCCTGACCTGAGCTAACTAACTTCAGTACCAGAGCCAGCAGCAGTGGTTCAGCAGCTCGTTCCCGTGGTTTAACTGTAACGTGTGGTTCTTGTTGATGCAGGTTTGTTCCTGTGGTTGATTTCTACATGTCCTGGTCCTCAGGTGCTCGATCTGGGCTGCAGCGAGTGTAGCCTCCTCAAAAGGCTCAAGTTTCACCGTGAAGTTCATCTTCTGGTCGGTTTGGACATCGACGGGACCAAAGTCAAGAAGAAGATGTGAGTCAGTTTATAAAAAATAAAATTCATCATCTGTCAAGTAAGAGTTGTATACATCTAGAATTAATGTGTGTAGTTGGAGGTATTAACTTTCTCTAAGATTAAATAATGTATAAATACAAGTAAATGTAACCGTTCTACTAAATTATATATTTTACCTTCAGTTTTATTCGCAAACAATTGATGTTGTCGTCTTTTCTAAGTGTAAAGAAGTGAACAAACATCCATGTTGTCAATAGATGAGATTTTTTGTGTCGTGTAGTAACTTCTACCTTGTGGCCTGATAATCTTCTTGTCTTCTGTCAGGCATGCACTAGCTCCTATATCGACCGACTACCTGCAGCCAAGCTACGATCCGCTGTGCGTGGAACTGTACCAGGGCTCAGTCACAGAAAAAGACGCTCGCCTCAGAGGATTTGATCTGGTGACCAGTATCGAGCTGTAAGTTCCTCTTCGTGTTGGTTTCATCTTTCCGTTGCTCTCTGTCTATCACCGTGTTTCCTCTCCGGATGTCTCCAGCATAGAGCACCTCACTCTTGCTGACGTGGAGCGATTCTCTGAGGTCGTGTTTGGTTACATGACCCCGGTGGCCGTCATTGTCAGCACCCCGAACTGTGAGTTCAACCCCCTCCTCCCCGGACTGAGAGGTTTCAGGCACAGTGACCACAAGTTTGAGTGGAGCAGAGCAGAGTTCAGATCCTGGTACAGAACGCTCTTTGACTTTTCATATGTCAGTGAGCATTGATCCATGCTGTTAGATCTGGTACTGAACGACATCATTCAACCATCATCCTCAGGGCTCTGAAGGTGTGTTTGAAGTTTGGTTATAAGGTGGAGTTCACTGGTGTTGGACATCTGGCGTCAGGATACCAGGAGAGTGTCGGCTTCTGCTCTCAGATCGGGGTCTTTCGGCGACTCGAGCGAGGAGATGACAGCAACGTGTTGGGTGGTGACGACGCAGAGGAGGTTTTTTCGTACAAACTTGTGAGTATATTGAACGTGTTGGACCTCCTGGTGGCTCAGCTGTTGACGTGGCTTCTTTCTCGTGAGTTGCTTTAACAGCATCAGGCACTTTACTGGCCTCTGCTGGTAACTCCTACGAACTGCAGTGACGGTCTGGACACCCATACCTCAGCCAATCACAATCAAATTAGATTTTAATAATAGTAATCTAGTCTTACAGATTAACTCAGGGTGATCTCAGTCTCTTGGGTCGAATGTTTTTACCTGATCTGCTGTCGTTGATCTCTAATCTTTGATTCTTTGATTCTCCATGTGTTCAGCTCCGAGCTTTGATCTGATATGTGTGTTTGATGTGTTTCTGTGTCAGCTGTACAGCGTTAACTATCCCAGCCTGCGTGACAACAACATCTTGCGGAGGGTCCTGGTGAGCGAGGTTGTGTGTTGGACAGAAAGACTGAAGAGATGGATGGGGAAGAAGAGTGGCGAGGGGAACGTCTATTACACACTGTTTGAGACGGAGGAAGGAGAAGAAGGAGTAGAAGAGCAGACAGGTGAAGATACAGTCCGTGCTTAGTATAGGTGCTTTTTGATCCACTTGATCAGTTCTGTCTCTTTTTCAAACAACTCTACAGTCTGCAGAGCGGAGATGAGAAATCCAGTATTGCACTGTGAGAGAGGAGCGTCGGAGGATGAAGGAGATTTCTGGACACATTTCCAAAGACGACAAGATTCCTGCACATCATTCAGGTGTGTTTCTGTAAGGAAGGTTAGGTGGGATAGAGTTGTCATTTGTGGTATACAGATTATGACCTGGAGAGTATTCACACCGAAATCGTTGACTGTGCATTGAGATGTGTATCACATTGGCCTCAGTGACAGAGATTCACATCCCTATTTCCTAGATGTGTGTCTGTTCCCCTGGATGTGCTGTGGTCCTGCTGTCCCAGAGTCAGCACCCTGAGTGGAAGTCTGGGTAATCTCAGACGTCTACTGATGGATGACCCAGATGTTGAACTGAGCCAGGACGGTGATGCTGTGCTTGTAAATTGCCATGAACAAGGTACTGTGGTCATCTGATCAATTTAGTTTTGTCCTCACTAGATGTGTAAAATGTAATAACTAAAATCTGTGTTATTTAGCAGGTTTGTGGTGCGTATGTATTTCCTCCACACCAATGAGACAGAGTTACTCTCAACTCTGCATTTATGTATTTCTTTTTGTAATTCAAATTATATATATTTGGTTGCATTTGTGTTCTCTTCTAATTTACTAATTTAAATTAACTACTAAACCAAAATTATGGAAAAACTATAAAATATCAAGCCTCAGACACAGAAGTTAATAAAATCAGTCGGGTTTTAGTGAATACGACAAAATGTGAACACTTTGTTTGCTCAAAAGAGAATTCCACAGGGAAACTTCAAACCTTAAAAAATGCAGTACTAAGGTTTGTCCAGCTGATGTCACTGTTTCAACGGCACATTACGTCCATGGTGGTTTCGTAAAACTCAACAACCATCTCTCTCTAGCATCATCAGCTGATGTCACAGACTGTTTTCCTGCTCAGACTATGGAAGTGACACCTGAAATATTCTGATGTTGTGACACTGGTCGTTCATTTGTGTTTTTACACCTTGAAGAGGAGGAGGAGGATCCAGATGAGCTGGAGGACAGCGGGTACGAACAGGCCAGCAGGCACCGGTCCGACCCTGCAGAACAAGAGGAGGACTGGGAGGCAAATGTTTGACCTGGAGGATGCAGCTTTTGTTTCCAGGACGAAGTAGGTCTCTTGTTCAGATTCAACGAGGCTTATTTGGAATGCAAGTTTTTGTTTTGAGTATGCATCCAGTTGTTAAAGAGAGAATATATAATTTAGTCTTTAAAATGAATTCAAATGTAAAAATCACAATAAAACTGTGAGATGTTATTATTGTGAACTCTGGGAGCTTAACGAAGACGATCTGTACACACTGAGGCTTTTACAGAGTTTTATTCAGTGCAAGGTACACGTCAGAAGCATCCAGTACACTTGTTAAGGAAGCAAATGTTGGTCAAAAATACGAGTCTGTAACAGGAAACACTGGACAGTGTCAGAACAGAACGTCACTTTACAGGAGAATACATATTACAGTTTTATAAAGACAACAGCTTCACAGAAGAGAAGAAGCAACCATGTTTGGAACAACATGTTAGGTACCAAGATGAACACACCTGCGTCACACAGGTGTAAGTGATCTGATTCCAAAAAAAAGACATAATATAATGTAATATTTGATATTTGGTAGCCATACACTTAACACTGTCTGAACTATGTAGTGCTGATGACCCCCCCTCCCCCAAAAAAAATATATTTAGCAAAAATATGGCACAATATCAGCAATGATAGTTTCAAAAACAAAGATAATATGTTAACACAGGAACATTTAAACCATGCTGAAACACAAAATGAGAACATTGATTTACAGTAACACAGAAGTTGGAGCTTCGAACAGTACGTGATGAGAACAGAATGACTTGCTACATGCTAACAGGCAAGAGAAATCATCTCTTCAGTGTGGAAATATCAAGATTAAAAAATAGCACGGTATCAAATTAGAAAAAAAAAAAAAAAAAGGATGACGTGGCAAGTTCTGCACGCTCGCTAACGGACGTCGCAATCATGCAGAACGTAGAAACGGAACACTGACGCATAGTTAAAACACCGTACACTGATGACACGTGTGCAGATATCGATATAACATGTTTATAGTTTGACTAGAAGAGGGAGTATCTTGGCTCTACTGTGGGTAATGACAGGAGACAGGAGATTACAGATGGTGTACAGTCTGTTTACGGTTTTTATGATGTGTCTAATATTACCATTAGTTTATGCATAGGCCTGACGAGGTCCCAGGTACGTCAGTGTGTTGTGTACTTTGGCTGATTTGCTCTCAGTCTAACAAATTGTTCACTTAATCCCCTATTGATGCAAATCATCTGCATGCGTGACACAATTCTCACCGCGGTGTTGTCATTAGCTTTTTCTGCAGCACTAAATGTTAATGATCTGCTCGCTTGAGCCAACAGCTGATATGTTGCTAGGAGACACACGCACAGGAAGTTACTGCATTACTCTGGGTCGTATTTTCTCTATGGCAGTGGATTACTTAGTTACTAGTCCTTCACTGTACTGTACACACTACAGTATTGATCAGTCACACTTCATGAGATCACAGCTGCATCACAGGATCTTGTTCACTGACGTAAGCGTCCCGGTCAGGGGGCGAGCTCACGTGGCAGGAAAGCATAGCCAAGCGTAGGAATACATAATAGCATGTCTATCGTAGGAGATCCTGTTCTGTTTAGAGATGCTCCGACATCGATATCAGCGTCAGAAATGCCTCTCGATACAGGAATCAGCAAGAAAGCAACTCTATGTCTTAATCTGATACAATGTTTTTAAAGGTTACGAGTTTCACCTGGATAAAAGTGCAATTTTCTTTTCCTGGAAGTCACTTCTTCTTCTTCTTCTTCTTCTTCTTCTTCTTCTTCTTCTCTTCTTCTTCGCAGCTCCAAAAAAGCAGTTGTGCTTTGCTGCCACTGGCAAGTACTGTTTTTAGAGAGGCGAAGAAGAAGTGATTTCTGGTAGTGTAGCGGGTTCAAATGTCAGAAATATCTCATGCTGAGAAGTCCAACAAGAAATACGACGTATGCCATTTGCTTGACTTCAGTTTCAATGGATAGTGTTGCCATTTACAGCACTTGCAATAGGCCGCACAACAATGATAGAACTTCTCACTTCCATACAGGGTTAGAAGCATTCAACCATTAAAATATATCACAAATCATTTGTATCAATGCTCTGGTATCAGATCGATACTCGTTATCGGCCGATACACAAAGTCCAGGTATCAAAATTGGTATTGGGGCAGGGAAACCGGTGCAGTTAATGTTAGCTGCACTGAGTTTGTGTTTCCCTGTCACTCACAAATATGGCTATCGCTCGTTTTCGCCAATTATGTGCAGTGCAAAACAAATTTAAAAAAAATCTGATCAGCCATTGTGTCCAGAACCAGAATATAATTTTTAAATGTTATGGTATTTTGACAGTATTTTATTTGTTTATGGCAAAGCAAACTTTCATGTTTGCGTCTTTGATTAAAAACCTCGTCTCTGCACTTTGCCTTCATACGGCTGAGTAATACTGCAGGATTTTCTAAAACAGTCTGTTGCTGATATGAACAGAGGCCTCTATAATTATAAGTAAGTAAATAGACTTTATCTCCTATTTTCTCTTTCAAAGTACCCACACAGTATTTCTCACAATAGATCCTATATCCATCCACTCCTTCAAGATAACAGGATAACTGTTACTACTAACAAAAGTAGTCTTACCATATAGCAGACACACACACACACACACACATTCTACATTCACACATCTAAAAGCTCGAGTCCGACACCTCGTCTTTGTAGTAAAATATTCTCACCTTGCAAACACTAGAAGGTGGATTAAGGTTAGTGCCAGCAACTGCAGCTTATAGGCCAATATTAAATAGAACGTCCTATTCAGGAGGAATTCTACAACGAACACTGACACTAAAGGAATGTATTGAAAATGGATGGTCCGCTCCTCTACAGCGTAGATTCCCTTTGTTTAAATGCTGCCACTCCTCCATTAGAAATGAAACGTTCATCATTTTCTTCCAGTTTCAAACGTGTTCTGTTTAGATGCTGGGCGACAAAGTTTACCTGAAAAACATCGAACATCTACACCCAGAACGTGAGGAGTGAGCAATTTCTGTTACACACACGTTAAATGTCTTGAACAATCAGGTCAATGTTTCATTTACATAAATTCACAGCTGTTTACATTGAGATGATCACTGCCCACCTGGCTGCTCAAAATATCTAAAAGGAAGCTACTATGTTACCGCATATATGGACACAGGAGGGCGCTGTTGTTACTGATCAGGTAACGAGCTGTAGGAATGGAGATTGAAATGAACTCAGCCTTGTTTCCATTTTTGGATGTAAGCGGTGTGAGTCCGTCGCTAAGAGGCTGCAGGTCTAACGCTTTATCACCACCTGCTCGTATGCTCCAGCACCAACCCTACGAGAAAAAACAAGAAGATAACATAAAAAGAATTAGAGGAAAACTCCAAACTTATAACGCTTCTCATTTAGTCCTTTTTCTTTTCTGCACCAAACCAATAAACTATTTTTTTAATTTAACATCTGATTCTCTCTTTTTATGGGAGTCATCAAATCCAGAGAAAAGAGTAAAACCAACAGTTGATCTTTTGTTTTTATTTGATCTCTGTATCTAAAGCCTGATAAACTACAGATCACTCCTTTGTGCCACAGAGTTCCATAAACTATTACAAACACATTTCTTAGATATTTTAGCTTCATTTTTGTAAAATGGGAGAAAGTTGAACTGTGTCGTCCATCTTTAGTCTATGGGAGTTAATGATTATACTGGACACCAGCCGTTATGCTCTGGAATAACAGTCACAGTTGGAACATGTGCACCAGTTTCAGCCCCAGAGGAACAAAGCACGTTGAAGATCTCCCTGTGAGTGAACTCACCTGGTGGGAAGGTGATGGCTTCCGAGGGCCGTGCTTCCTCCAGGCCCAACAAACAGCCGCAGACCTTCCTCTGAAAAAGACACGGTTGTAGTAATGTTCAGTCAGAAGAGAGCACCAGCATCCTCCTGTATGAATTCTCTAATGAGCAGCAGCTAGTTGCTAGGCAATCTATAAATACTCATGTATTGACAGCAGCTTTCTTTTTCAAGCTCTGAGCAAGATGAGACCTTGGAAAGAAAACAAAGCCCCGCTCCTCAAAGTACAAACTATGATTCATTCAACGCAGCAGTACTCCAGAGGTGAGCAGCAACTAATGAAATCATTTGATTCATTTTATATGATTAAAAGATGTAATGAATCATGGGACTGGCATAATCTGCTGGTGTTAGCTTCTTAAATTAAGAATCTTTATTCAACCAGAAGGTCGGCGGTTCGACCCCAGTCTTCCCCATCTGTGTTCCAAAGTGTCCTCGGGCAAGATACCGAACCCTGCATGGCTTCTTATCAGAGTGTGATATGGGTGAAAGGCAAAAACTACTGTGAAGCACTTTGAGTGGTCACTAAGACTAGAGAAGATCTATGTAACTCTCACAGATCAGATTGAACATATGTTTGACTATGACCGGAAACAATAACAATTTATACTTAATTTACAATTGTATAAACAGAGAAAAGTCTAAAATACTGCAGAGGTTGTGTCCTTCGGAAAAAAGACACAACCCTGAACAGGCTGTGTAAACGGAGCTTCCGTGTGCGTTTTACCTTCAGCACTTGAGTCCAGTAGGCTCGGTGTGAAGTCTTGACTCTGAAGAATTTTTTCCACAACATCGTCCGCGTCCACCCGCGTGTCGTCCATTCTCTTTAGCTGAGACTCCATGGAGTCTTGTTTCACTGGGTGTCTGATAGGAGGATACAGGAGAATCATTCTGTGCACATTTGACCTCTGATGGTTTCCACTGCAGTCTGAAAATGGTGTTTGTTTAAGGGCTGTGCGATTATGGTCAAATTATATTTTTTATGAATTGTGTTACCTGTTGAGTCGTTCACAGGATGAGGCGCTGTGTACAGGTGTGCCTTGTGGGTTACTAGTAGCAGTTGTGGTAGTAGTGGTAGAGACCGGGTGTTCGGGCAGCGCAGGACAGGGTCTGGACTCTCTGTCTCGGTCCTCGCTGGGTTCTGGGATGCTGCCAATGCCTGTTGAGGCGCTGCCCACTGAATGGTTTCTCCGGTGGCTGAACTCTGACATGCTGGACGAGCGGGAGTGACCTGTACTGTAGCCTGCCAGAGAAAACAATACAGAGGCCCTTCTTAAATAAATCCACAATATACAACTGTTTAAAACATGAGCTTCAAAATTACTTAGATGGTTCCCTGACTTGAATGAGGAGAATGGGATTTGGTGAAAGTGGTTCTGACTTTTGAGTTGAGGTGGTGATTGGGGGAGTGCCACAGATCTTGCAGTTGATTGGGCAGCCGCTCAAAATAAGGGTTAGGAAGTTTAAATGTAATAAAATGTGTTGATATTTGGATGTTTGGTTTCTCGATAGATAATTATTATTTTGCTTTTGTCCGCTTCACCAATTAAAGAAAAATGTAAAAGATTTACAATCCAAACATTAGAAAAAGCATTTTCTGGCATTTAAATGTCCTGTAAACCCAATTTGCCGTTAACATTGTGTTTAATGATTCAGCATTTCAGTAGAGTAGCAATGTCACCCACACAATCACGTGTGGTTCAACTCTGCATCACGGACACAGAGGAGCAAACTTCACTCACACTGTAACGATCGATCGAGAGTCACAAGATGTGGCAGGAAATACATTTTCACATTCAGAAGTAGGCGACCATTAGAGCCATTCTCAGCGCACCTCTCCACTTCCTGTGATCTCGTGTTACAGTCATCCGATCAGCCTCTAATGGAAACTCGAGCTTCAGGTCTGAACTGCTCTGGTGGAGTGACACTGGAAAATAATTTCATCACTTCTCTCATACATATTTATGTAGGTTGTTTGCCGTCCACATCAGGCCAGCAATAATGTTCTTTAGATGTGGGGTTTCCCTACCTGAGAGTTTGGACTGTTGGCTGGCGTAGCTGGATGTGCGCGAGTGTCCGCAGCCCCCCATGTCATCAGAAACAATCGGACACTTCCCTTCACGACTCTCTGCGAGATCAGAAAGAACAGAAGATGATGCAGGATAAGAAAGACTTGAAACCTCCACAAAAGAGTCGGTTCTAGTAGAAAACGTATACGTGCATCTTTTGATTAGTCAGGAAGAAACAACTTATTTAATACCAGGCACATTCTCTGCAGAAGAAACTCATCTCTTTGTCTCAAGTGAAAAATCATCACTTGTTTTAATTATTCCCTGGGACATTGGTGAAGATAAAAAACACCTTGCAATGTTCAAGGAAGTGATAAAAAAGTGATACAACATTTAAAGGGTTCTTTCTTGGTTCATTTCTTTGTGGAAATCCATTCTGTGGTTTTTGTGTCGGCCTGCTAACAAACAAACCTTCAGTGTACAGAGGGAGAAAACTGACTGACTTGTGGAAAAGGTTCAGATGACCAATGAATCTATGGGTGAACCAAATATCTCATTAGATTATTTGTCCCATTCCTACGTAAAGAAAAGACATGAAGTAATTCAAAAAATCAATCCACAAAATAACACCATGATTTATCTTAAAGGACCAAACCTCACATTTGAGCTTCTCACACACCTGCCCACTACAATCGTGCACAATCAAGACTAATGATGCTGACAGGACAGAGCCTCGTCTGCAGCAGACCAACACATGTAGTGTGCACAGTCTGCACACGCAAAAAACACACCACCCCCATCGACAGACTCACAGAACGTCCTATTTTTAACCACGTGAGAGCCCACAGGGTCGGAGCAGATTGTAGCTAATCTAAAAGAGAGCTAGTTTAAATTATACATGAAAGAGCTGCACTACACTCTGCAGCATCGAGGAGGAACAAGCATTCAACACACAAAATGTGCTCACACATGAACACACACACACACACAGGGAGCAACAGAGTGAGGGAGTGGAGCAGGAGGAGACAAATGTAGCAGAAAGCGACAGCAGCAAATATTTTCAGAACAGTGGAAGACAGATAGACAGCATGGAGCAGAAGAACGTCGTGCTGGAAGAACAGAAGTGCATAAACATGAATAATCACATGGGTTATGAAAGGATGAATATCTGCAGCTTCATTTCAGAACTTCATGAAGTTATAATGGCTCTATGAGCACGGCATGTGAATCCCCACACTGTGTTCTCCTGACTTCCAGATCATCTGCAGACTTTCTACGCCTGAGTATGAAGTGAGCCTCTCACTTGGACATTTGCACACATGCACCTCCTCCAGATAGAATACGGTGGATCTGCAGAGTTCAGTCTGAAAGCAGCTTTATAGGTGTAATTTTGGTTTCCAGTCAGTCGCTAGGAGTCGGAAACAGAGAGTGGATCAGGAAACAGTAACGTAGCAGCTTCTCTTGTTCCAAAATCCAGTCTGAGAAAACACTCCACACAGCTGAAGCGTTCTTTTACTAGGTCCATGTAAATGTTTGGAAAAGCTGATGGCATGACTAAGCAGAGCAGAGGAGTGTAATGTGGCGTGCTTGTCTCACCAGAAGAGACTTTCTGTGAGTCTCCTCCCCTCCGCTCCTCCAGCAGGCTCTCTCCGTCACCCTGGATCCCTATCACAGTGGCTGTGGAGGGAGGCCTGAGGACAGAGGACGATGAGGCTCAAGTTTCTTTCTTATGTTTCAATGTGTCCGTTATTATTTCAATAAAATAATAATAATTATTATATTATTATTGTGTCTTAATCCAGAAGAAGACAAACTAAATCTACTGATAAAGACAAAAACAGGGAAATGGGAGGAAAGTTTGAAATAAATGAATCAAAGGAAAGAAAATGTATAAATATAATTCATCTTAACATTTAACTGACTGTTCGTACTGAAATAAAACAAGTCACAGCTTCAGGCATAAACATACAGGCTACTGAGGCATTTCTAGGTCAGATCTTGCTCTTGGGTAAAGCAGCATTTATTTCTCTGTACTGAAACATTCATTGACAAACTAAAACCACAGTTATACGAAAGGAACTAGTACTATGACCTGTTGAAATCAGTCATGTCATCTGATTAGCTACTTTACATAACCCGGGATTGTTCGATCACATGAAACTTTCCTTAGTCTGAAAAAAACCCATCTTAAGGAAATGTCTTAACTTTGACAGAGAATGATTTTAAAAGAATGTATCACAAGAGAGACGGAGTAAAATGAACTGACTGTCGTAAACTGTCCGAAGTCATTCACTTTTTTTTTTCCAGTCAAACTACATTGGCAAGTGATTTAGTTAATCTAATAAAGACGATTTAGATGGAGTAACCTGATAACTGATTGGTGAAGGCCACAGACTAGAAACAAAGATGGTCGACGCATCACCACAATCCCAAATCAGTTTCATCTGTCAAACATGACGCTTCAACAGACTTAGCACAACATGTAAAAGGAAGTTATGTCAACTTACGTTTTAAAACAGGGATCTCCTGACATGAGCTGTGTACTGATGACAACCTATGACAAGAAAAAGAACATTTTGCTTGTTAATTGATTTAGTTTGAATTCCATGTTCCCATTAACATTTCTTCTTAGTTCGAAGATAAAGCAAAAGGAAAGGTGTTTAATCAGAGTTGTCCTGAGCTGCTGTCTGACAAACACTGAACTCTGCAGATCCTCTGGATTTTTACTACGAGTGAGAGGCTCTGGTAAAAATCTTTGTCACGCAGTAGGGTTGGTATGATATGAACACTGCTCTTCTATAATTGTTTAACCTCTGGCTGCAGTCTAGTGGACGACCTGGGTCATTGATGTAGTACTTCCCAGAAAACGACTAGGCTTGTATTGAAAACAGCAAGGTATCATATTAAAGAAATCAAATCCTGGTGTTGTGGTTGCCTTATCGTGGCTTCAGCGTTACCTTGAGAATGGAGTTATCCTGACGAGTATTTTTGGTATCGTAGCCTTCCAGCAGACATCTACGGGTTGTGTTCCCTGAGCCGGCAAACTCTGCTAAATTCAGATCTGCAAAACCAAGCTGAGAGAGAGAGAGAGAGAGAGAGAATGACAAGGGGTGAACTTTTGTTTCCTCTCAGGACACAGAGATCTTTTTGCCCAGTCAGCAATGTGTCAATCTCTGAGATGTCAACGTGAGTGAAAACTCAGAGAAATTAAAAAGTATTAACACATCTTCTGCAATTTTACAGGAAAGAAAAGAGTGTGCATGGCGAGGTCATGAATGCTCAGTAGATAATCCCATTCAAACAGTTAAAGGCAGAGTACGTGATACAATGAGCAGACCTGCAGGCAGTGAGAGCCATCTGTCTGCGACAGGCTCACAAGGCTAGCTACATCAATATGGATGATTACTGCAAATGTAGGTGACCTGGAGGTTGGGAGTATGGGGGTTGGATAACAGAAGTGTGTGAACATACTACCTTTGCATACGCCTTCCCCCCCTTCAGCTCCTGGAGACGAGAAGCATAAACATTTCAAATTAAATCGTCGAGTCTCAAAGCTTCATTTAGGCACACTTTAAATTAGTTTTAAAAAAAAGGTAACCATCTGCCTGTCGAATGTGTTTGAAAGTCGACTAGATTTCAAATATACTTAGGATAAACTATGATATGTGATAAATAAATAGTAAGCGTGGTATAAATAGCCACAGCCGTGCAGTTGGACGTAATGACAGCTGCTCTGAAGAACATTTTTTAAATCCGAGTGGAAATGAGGCTCATGCATGTGCACAATGATTGAGATTTGCAAACAGAGAGCTTTATGAATCCCACAAAAACACCAAGTCTGCGTCTCGCTTTCAGTTTTAGTCTCTGTAGTTTCTGAGAAACAAAGAGGAATCACAGCAAGGCTCATCCACTTCCTTGTTTATGTAACGTGACTGATTAAAATGCATAGAGCACATTCATATTTAAGGATAAAGGTTAAAGGAAATCAAAAAGGGGTACTGATTTTACACAGTCAGTTTTCTTCTATAAAAGAGTTGTTTGTAACCAACAGAATTTTATTTTACACTGACATGACCTCTGGAGTTTATTTTTAAGACCTTGCCTGTTGCACCTTTAACCCAAATATTACTTGTAGCTTCAGATTATGGATTCTAAGTGAATCTCTATCACGGTGGAGTTCAGCAGCTGTACCTTTCGGACGGATACGCGACACACGCAGGGGTCCAGTACACCTGTCCCCGCGTTGGCGCTCATCTTGCAGGGGAAAGAGAATCGCCTCCTCCATCGAACGCAGTTGGCCTGCACTGGCTCCCTGTTACAGGAAATCACAAACACTTATTTCAGCAGAAGCTATAGTCAGACTGTTCCCGTCTGAACGACTCAAACTGATTAACTGTTTGGCTCAGCATCAGAATCATAATGGATCACATACACTTATTGTGGGAAAAGATGTTTATTCGGAGACAACAGAAATAAACACACACAGACAATTAGATCCTCACTCTCAAGACAAAACAAACGCTGACAATGAAATAGAAACGTAGTAAAATAGATTTAAATTTTTTAATATTAAGTCCATATGGGTCGGGCTCTACCAAGCACCGTCCCGTCCCTGCCTTACTGCTTGATGTTTGCAGCACAGATCAAATCTCTAATCTAGATGATGAAAACCACTTGGGTTGAGTGAACACCGGATTAACAATCCCCACATCTCATCCCTGCTGAAGCCTATTGATTCAAACTGCCAATATACGCTTGTGTGTTTATCCTCCCATTCTTCAGAACATCTAATAAAGGAACTAATAAATTCCGATCCTCTTTTCACCTATTGATTTATTTAACTGCTGGACCGATAGTTATGGTGGTGGGTGTAGCTTGTTCTAGCAAAGAAGAGACATCCATCCTCCAGCAGCTAAAAGTTAACGTGATTGCAGGCTGTAGCTTACTCCCAGTGAAAGGAGGAGATGAAGAGTGTGTGTGCGTGGGAAGCATTAGGATACCCAGATGGCTTCCCTTTCACTGGCGTCGTCTCCTCTCCCACTCACCTACCAAACTGCCTTCTGTCGAGACGGCCCACACGCCATTCACGTCAACCCATTTTTCTGGATTTAATTACAAAGATTTTCTTCTCTGATACACTGCGATGCATCAAGTGTTTGCTTTTTAAATTGAGACAAAAGGAGCCACACGCTGACGGACGGGTGCAGAAAAGGTTGAAGTGGAAGACGTGTTGATGCAGGAGACTTAAACGATTAACAGGGTGTTGGGGATTAATGTTAAGGATGAGCAGGATTTACTGGCTTTTGTTACACAACATGTTCACTAAAAATAAAAAAGCAGCAAATGTGCGACGGACATTTTACAAACGCTGACTTCTTCCTAAAGTCGATTAGGTTTCACAGATTGAACTCCCAGACAGATGGACCCAACGTGATTCCGAAATATTCAGATTTGATTACATGAACTATGGCTCACAACACTTCTCAGTGCAGCGAAATCCTATTAGTGAGTGTGAGTAACTCCGGTTTTAAGCACTAGCAAAGCCCATCCGTCTCATCTCTCCACATGTGTCAGATATTCTGTTAAACTAAAGCTGTTCTCCCTTTAAAAGCAGCTGCTGTCAGACTTCAGACACAAACTTTCACAAGCACATGTTCCCTTAAATCGGTTTAACGTGAATTTGCTTTTCAGTGGAGAGTAACAGTAGAGCCCTGATTTATTGGTCGGCTGATAACATCTGTTGATATGAAAACTTGAATTTGACAGAAAACAAAGATCGTTTATTTCCTTTATTCAATTTCTATATATTTGGTTGTATTTGTGTGTTTTTTTTATTAACACTTAATATAATGTATAAACTGTAAAAGATCGCACCGCCCTGAGTTCAGGGGTCGGATTGGGACAAAAGTTTTGAAGTGACATTCAGATTTGCGTCAGGTCTACTCACATTGGCTGGGCTACTCTACCTCTTTACTTTAAGTGCCTGTAACCAGGGAAAACATCAGGTGTTTGGATTGTTTTGATTTCTCTAATATCGGCATCGGCCCCTAAATCCATATTGCCCAGGCTGCGGAGAACAGTCTCAATTTATCCATGAGACGTTTTATTTTCAAAGAAGCAAACTTATGTGATGAGGAAAACTTGTTCAGGGCTAAAACAATGACACATCCCTGGTGACAAACGACACCAAAGGAAAAGAATAAAGCTCATGAAACAACACTTCCCTTACATCCACAGTTGGGATGACTCAGGGGATCGTCAGAGGTCTAACACATCAAACTGCTTCAGAAAAACTTCATTTAATGCTCCCACACTTGTGACCACAGTTTCTTAGGACAATCTATTGAAAACATGAAAACAACAAAGAGCTGGAGAATGAAACGCTACTGAGGCAGAACAGGATGTTTTAATTATAGCCAGAATTCAACGTCTGGGGTTGTGGAATAAAACAGAACCACTTGAATTCCTCCTCTTACATGGCTGCTCAGAAATACAGAAAGAAAACTGGAGATATATTAAAACGACCCTGTTGCCATGACCTCAGATGCATTCTGATTCAGTACGTCAGGCACACTGAACTTTCTATTTGTCCATTTTGTAAGAGCTACTTACTCTAAAGCAAACAGAAGGCTTGTTATATAATCAGGGTGAAGCCATCTAATCCCCGCAGCCTCCCTACAAAACAATCACTTCCCCTTTATCCAGTGCCGGTCTAATTTATGAGGGAGCGCTTGAACAGGTTACAGGGGAGGAGACTGTTGTTGCTTGTTTCAACTTGACAGCGATACCATTGTTACCATGACACTGCTGTGGACTGCAAGGTGACACTGAATAATGGGTGTCAGTCATTTCCTGTCTTTAGCGGACAAACTGGCATTTACGGAAAATCTCTCGTGGTGTTGGCAGAGCGTTGTCAGTTGCTCTGGTTGGTGAGAAACACCGTGTCACACTTCAACTATTTGTCGGTGTTTATGCAAATATTTGCTGTTCGTAGTTTCTCAGGCTTGAGACTCTTCCTTGTCCCAACATGATGATTCAAAGAAAAGCTCGTTTTGACAACACCACATTGCTCTGGGGGGAATCATTTCATTCCCAGGCACATTAACCATCATCCCAGTTGACATGATATCCCATCATATGATGGGAGTCTACGCCCTGACACCTTACTTCATCCTAGGTTTTACTTTCACTACTCTTGTGCCACATATGTTGAATTGATAGGTGTTTGTGTCCCTTAATCTGATTCTTACAATTGGTTTTAGTTTAAATTATTCACGTTTATTAATGTGTAATGTGTCCTTGAGCGTTTAGAAAGTCAGTGGGGTATCACAGTTATTATTATAGTGTAATATCCTTTAAAAATATCGAATCATATTATTACTATATGTTTATTTATCCTTTTTTATTTTTTCTTCAATTTCGTTTTTATCAGTATTTTTAAATTGCTATTACAACTTTTTACATTTTATTTTACAGTATTTCCTTGTCAGCTTTTGTATTTGTTTCGTATTACTTTCACTTTACTTTCTCATCCGTCACAAACCTGCACAAAAAGTACTATAATAATGAATTAGTAATGAAAGTACTCCCGACCTGCAGGTCTGCGTACATCTCATTCTTTTACACAGGAAGTAAAATCCAGAGAAGGTTGGAGAAGGTTTAATCTGAGCTGTGGATGACTTTTAAAGGTCAAACAGTCATGCACTGTCCTGATCAGCTATAATCAATGACGGGTCGATAAATCAGGACAGTAAATGATCAACGTGAGACCACAGAGGGGACATTAAAGGACAACCCAGGACAGCATCGATCCAGCAGCAGTTTCTGTACAGGAGCCCCTTCATTGCTGTGTGGGAGTGATGAGACAGATCAGCTGGTTTCACACAACCCAGTGAGGAACATGGAGCAGATGAACGTATGAAGGAGCTGTAGCCACATTAGCACACACATGTTTTGAGCCGGCTGTGCTAACATGTTTTAAAATGCTGCCTAGCATTAGCTCGGAGTGGAGGGTGATGTTGAACTGCAGCCACAACACGACGAGTGACAGACGTGAGCTGGTTAGTGTTACACCCTGCTAGGTGGCTGGCTAGTTTAACAGCAGCTAACTGGGCTGGTGCAGCTAGTTCACCCAGGTTTAACTGAGCTAGTTCGGCTAGTTCACCCAGGTTTAACTGGGCTAGTTCACCCAGGTTTAACTGAGCTAGTTCGGCTAGTTCACGGTCCTGCTGGTCGGTGGGGACTCACCGGGAGGACTCCTCGGAGAAGCCGCCGTCCAGCAGCCGGACTTTACAGAAGAGGACACCGTTGACGAAGGGAACCGACGACAGCTCGTCCAGCTCGAAATCCACCTTGAACTTGAATTTCTTCTTCTTCATCATCATTAGATCCATACACGGGCTCCGAACGGGGGACACGACGCGCCGCCCGCCGCTACATCACAGCCCCATGGTGTGGAGGCGACACGGTGGTGTGGTGTGGTGTGGTGTAGTGTTGGTGTGTTGTATTGTGTTGTTGTGTTGTGTTGTGGGAGGATGGTGAAGACGCTGGTGACAACAGTGACATGTGAAGTGATGAAGAGAGAGCGACTTCCTTCCTGGCAGGGGTTTTCAAAATAAAGGCATTTGACTGCTATCCCTGTGTTGAAGGCACACACACACACACACACACACACACACACACACACACACACACACACACACACACACACACACACACACACACACACACACACACACACACACACACACACACTTAACTCACACCTTGAATGAAACTTCACTCATTGTCTATGCGTTGGGTGAGTTTGGTGTGGAAGAACTTGACAGAGTTCCTCCCTCAACCACATCCAACACCTCTGGGATGAAGTAGAGCGGCGGACCTCTCGTCCAACATCTGTCTGAGGTCTGACCTCGCAAATGATCTCTTCCACCAAGAAGAGTGGGCAAGACGGGACCAACTCCATATTAATGCCTACATGGCTTTACAGTGGGAGGTCATTAAAGCTCCTGTAGTTGAATGTGTAGGTGTTCCAATGCCTTTGTCCATAAAGTTTAAATAGACAGATATACACAGTAGATAGATAGAGAGATAGATAGATAGATAGAGTTCATTGATCCCAAATAAAGATGTCTGGGATAAGATATTCCTCCGTTACAACAGCAAGGTATCAGTCACATAACACTCAGCAAGATGTAAAAAATATAAGATCAAAAACTGTACCTACTATAAAAACATATATAGAGATGTAACCTAACTACTATATAAATATATAGCTGCAATTTCCTTTAGAATAATAAATATTTATAACATTTTAAATAGTTCACAGGAGGTTCAACATAATTGTCAGAACTCAGGTTTGTAAAATGTTTTGCTGTTTATCAAGTGTTTGTCATTCTCTGCTCATAAAGAAGGGTTACAAAACAACCTTCACTCAGGAGCCACAATTACACTTTAAACTTAAAGAAACAATGATGGCACATTTGTTGTCATGAATATCAACTATACAAAATACACATCTTTATATAATTGTTGGCCACATCTCCGTGTCCTGTGCTTTCATTCTGTGAAACACTGTGTTACATGTTCTATTGAGTCATTGATTGACTTAAACTGTCAGTTTATTAGGAACATCTAGCTCAAACTAATGCTGTCCAATACAACAGTCCTGCAGAAAGTCTGATTGCATTGTGCAGAATCTGAATCATATTTACTAGTAGAGTTTTCAGCAGACAGAGAATGTGCTCGGATCGTTGGTGCAAAACAAAACAGGGAGAAAAGATGTGGGGGGGGCGCTTCTGTTTCACGTGCTTTTATTTTTGAAATAAGTTTGAATCAAACGGATGTGTGATGTCACGTGTTACCTTGACTGATTGAAGAGAACCCTGAGGAGGCGGAAGTGCCAGAGGCTGCAGTTCACCGAGTGTCCACTTGAGGCTCCGCTCCCACGTTAAGAAGCCTGAAGTGACGTGAATCACGTGGTTTGTGGTCCTCGTGGGGAGCCGAGCTGCGGGTCGCGGTGAGTGACGTGGTTTGATTCATGTGTTCATCTGAAGAGTCAGAGCGGTGAGCGGGTGTCTGGGCCTCAGCACCTGGCTCGTTAGCTTAGCTCCGCTAGCCTCCAGGTGAGACACCTGCAGTGATGATGCTAACGGGACAGAACCGGGACGTCGTGTCTCCGTCCGCTCTCCAGCCGGGAGAAGACGCTGCCCTGCGGCGGCACGTGGAGACGCTGGACCCGGTGGTGTTCCGCCTCAGCCGAAGCTCAGACCCCGCGGGAGGGTCTCGAACCCCGGGAGAGTGAAGTGGTTCTAACAGACTTGTTATTTCTGAAGCTGCGTTAAAGTCATTTGTGATGTTCGTTAAACGTGTTGGTTCTAAAGGGCCCAGTTTAAAACCGAGCACCGGGGCTGGAGGAACACCTGAGGGGGCGTGGTTCGATCCTCAGGTGTGTGTTAGTGTGGGGAATGAGTTTAGTGTGTGGATGTTGTTCCCCCCCCCCCCCCCCTCAGGTGTTCTGCAGACTGTGATGAACCAAACTCTCACTGTATGAACTACAAAATAAAGCTTCTGGTTTTCTAATACTCCAGGTTTCCTCCTCTCTGTGCAGTAGATCCATTCTGCTCTCTACGTTCTCTACACCCGAGACAAGGTTTATTACTCTCTCCAACTTATCTTTAAAAACTGTCATCTCTTTGTATGCATCAATTGAAGATGTTCTTTTGTAGTCATCAATGATTTGTCAGATGAAGATGTATTTCCTTGAGTTTGTTAAAATGTGGGAAACTGTTCAACTCCATCAAATGAAGCTAAAACACACGTTTTGTCACCACACTGTGTTTTAAATGTGTTTTAGCGTTGACGAGCTGAATGTGTGACTCCACCTGCAGAACTGCTGCCGTGTGATGTTTGCAGACATTCAGCATGACGGACATTTACACCGTCCAGTCAGAGTATTTGGTTTATAGCTCTGCAGATGTAGAGTTGCATTGTGAGTGTGTTCGTTGTGTATTGAAATAATTGCTGAGATGTCCTTCTTTTCTCTGAGTTTTAGATGTGTAGTGATCCAAGTAAAAACAGTGTTTGACCACAAGGTGGCAGAAAAGATCAGAAGTACCAGGCTGCACAGAGATGGACATCTCATAAACAATGTGAAGATATATTTTCACCTTCGAGTCTCTCATACTCAGTGTTTTGAATATGTGCAATGAGATTAAATATAAATAGTTTTTTTGGGGGGGGGCAGGACTGACTATGGTCTGTTGTTGTGGAGTCACACACCTGCAGAATGACAACAAGGAGACGAGGAGTCATGTTTCATTTAGTAACAAGATATAGAATCATTATATCGTCTCATCAGGGTTTATTAATGTGGATAAATGAAAGTGACAACAACAACAGTCCAGTGGATCTTCTCTGCCGGCAGCAACAACACGGCAGCAGTGTTTACGATTTAAACGAATGGAGCAACTGATGCAGTCCACGAAAAAACTGAACAAGTTATTTTTTACTCCAATAAAAAGGCTCAAGTTAGAGACGAGTATCGAAGTCAAATGCTTCATCTACATGTTCCACGATCAGAAAGAGATGGAGACATTCAAGTTTCTCTCCAGGGACGTGTGATGTTGCCAGACTCTTGGTAAAGACCAGAGAAACAAGTTCAGTATTTCCGAGACGGTCACAGTTGCTCCAGTCGAGTAAATTGTACTGTCACTGTGTCACAGCTGCAGGCAGAGACATGTGTTTTTGTGAGTACTCTTCATTTACTCCCCCACAGTTATAAACAGGAGTCAGGTTCAAAAATACTGTTTCCTAACGAGCTGCAGTATCTTAGTGTTTCTGTGGGTGTCGCTCTACTCACATTTAAAACAGGCACACTGAAGTTTATTAATAAATCACATGATCTGTGTCAGCAGCAAGTTCCAGTTTGAACTTTTGAAAAAACTTCATGTGTAAATGTTTTTTGGAGGAAAAGTTCATGAAGAGCTCAGAGGACTGGATCAGTCGAGACAAACAATCTGATGACTTTACTTTGGGAAAAGAAGGAGATGGTGTTTGAAGTGGATCTCCCTGATTTTATAATAATATAATAATACAAAGAATAGTCTTTACTGTTATTTAATAAATGCTGTTCGTGTGCTGCCTCCTGCGGCCTCTGTGCTCTCTGACAGGCCGATGTGTGTTCGATCCTTCTGATCTTATTTTGGTGGCAGATGGAACCTCGATGGAGGAACCAGCTCTCGGGACATTAACAGGAACCTGAGCTGTGTTTTCCAGCTGATTAATAAAAGAGATCAACATTTTCTACTGTGGAAGATTCATCTCAACCGTCCCATCAGGACCCGTCACATACTTTTCCTTTGAATGTTAATCTTCTCAAACAGGAGGGAGGAGAAAGTGTCATTTTGTTCTTGTTTTACTGCGAAGAAGGAAAACTGTGGTTTGGAGCTTTTGGAGCTGGTGGTTGTTCCTCAGAGCTTCGTGGTGCCGGGGCTCGGCAGTGTGGCTGAATGTAAACGTAACTTTAAAAAAACTTGTCTGCTTTACTCATCAGCGTTTTACTTTTGTTCTTCACTGCAACGTTTCTATTCTGCAGTGATGAGAACAATAGAAGTGTATTTTGTACATTACATAAATATCGACAAATGTTTCCAACTTGTTGGCTCAGTGATGTTTGAGTCTGGGTTTTTTTTATCGATCTGCAGTTTTCCACGAAAAGACCAAAAACTTTGTCTGAATGTTTTCTCATCTGTAGCATCTTTATTGACTCCTCCTGAGATCTGAGGGCAAACATATGGTTTAATTTCCTGAAACAGCTGCACACAGTCATTTTCAACAAATGCTTTTCAATCAGGAGGAAATAGGATTTCTCTCAGGAACCATTTCCAGCAGCAGATTCATCTACATTAGGTGCTCTTGAGCATTTAGTAGACGCTCTATGATTTTTACACTTCTGCTCCATTCACTGTCTCTAACAACGTGAGATAAGACGTCGCTCGAGAAATAATGCAAAGATCTCTTTTAAAAATCAGACATCTTGAGGGTGTGGATGAAATAATATATTAATTTAATGTGCAACAAATATTCCACTCATTTATATCATCATTGTTTAATGTGAACAGTTTGCAGTACATTTCTGTGTGCATGGTTTATGTATCTGATGGAATATAGTGATATATATATATATTAACAATCACGTCGTAAACAGGAACCTGGAAAAGAAACATTCACTTGTTCAAGTAAGAGAAAAGAAATGAGACTGTGAATAGATCTTAAAATCACAGTATCTTCATTACGGCACAACTTTAAACATATGAAACCTTTGCAGATTCAAAACAGAAGCAACGTGTTTTTATGCTCAGTACATGGAATATTAATAATAACATGAAATGTAAGATTGAATCCAAACCATGAAATACGAGACAGTGAGTTATAGTTTGATATATAGGCACTGGAGTGGTGATTAACTGAGCCATGAATTAAACTGCACATATATTTATATGTATATATATGTATATAAATAAATACAGTTGAACATACACACCTGCTAAATGTTAAACAATATGAATTCAATTTAAAAACATCACGTCTCCTCTGAGGAACCTAGCGGTAGCATTAGCTCTTCGCTCGTAACACGTTGCAAATGCACAATTTAATATTTTAAAGATTTTTCATAAAAGAATAAAACTAAGTTACATCTATTGTACAAAAAAAGATAAATATCAACCCACCGTCTCTAACTTTATAATGAATCTATTTCCTCAGTTAGTCATATTAAATGTGTTGGACTCGATGTCCTCATAAAACACATGTAAACCAGCGCAGGTGTCTTCACATTCACACAGACATAAAAACAATAACCTGGCAGATAAATATATTTTACAGTCGAGTGCTCCAGATGTGCACAAGTGCACTGTGCAACATGTTGCATTCAGAGCCACTGATGGTAACACGGGCACTTCAATTTGATTTCAAATCTTTCTGTAACGTGATCATGAGACGCCCGACGATCAAACACCCTTTGGCCCCGAATCGGTGAAAAATAAATACTGCTGCTTCACTTTGCAGATGTGCGAGTGTTTACACAACATCTGTTTGTGTCACCGGGGCCTCGGAATCAGGACTTTTGAATACGGAATAATTCTACAAAGTTAAGATCCTTTAGAAATATCAGAGAAAATGTGCAGTAAGTTTCCTAAAGCAAAACAAAACCCTCATTATCTCTGGAACTGAAACGTATCAAACTGCATTTATCTTATTTTTCCTTTTTTTATGCATATTTCACTGAATATTTTGATAAAACACAACTTTCATGAAAGAGAAGCTGATGCATGATTAGAGTTTGGGTGTCTGACCTGAGTTGGGGTCACTCACGCTGACCGGGCTGATGTTTTACACGTCTGTAATCGGGGTAAACAAAGATTAACCACAGACAGAAAACTGCAGCGTAACGTGACCTCAGTTTGTGTCTGTAAGTCAGAGAGTGATCAGTGCCTCAGGTAACGTCCTGGGAAACGTGGAGGGAATTAATTTAGACTTAAGTTTAAGTCAACACTTAAATCTGGCAGCACCTGAAGGATCCTGAAAAAACGTCTGTAAAAAAAAAAAAAAAGAGCTCGTCCACAGAGAACGTGTCACGTTCACCTAGAGGGCGCTCACGAGGCAGTCCTCTGAAATAGACTTTTACTTGTGTCTGTTGTTTTTATCTATAACTGTCCTTTAAATATAGAATTGATTTTTATTTATCAGGATTCAAACTTTAACCGGTCATGGTGACAAAACTGCGGATGTGTCTGATGGTGCTTGACGTCCCAAACACAAAGTAAAAAGTTTTCACTAATCTGATCTCATTGAACTACATCTCTCGTGTCTGCTGTTATAGGAACGTTACTTTTTTGGTGCTTCGGCTCCATCGACTCCCCCATCGGCCCCTTACACAACCTGGACGTTGTGAGAGTAGGAGGTTCCTGTAGCATTCAACACACTGACAACACGTGAACGCGTTGAGCGCTCGTCAGACCGTGGAGACGTTGTTGGGCGTCACGGTGACGGTGTGTGTGAGCGCCTGCGTCTCTGAGCCCGGCTGATCTTTGGGGCTGGATTTGTCCAGAACAGAGATCTGAGTGCTGCTCTCAGTGAACAACGTACGCCGTCGTTTACTGTATCTCAGGTAATTCTGAGTCTGCCACTTCCAGAACCTCTTCTTTAGTTCTGCCTGCACCTACACACACACGCACACACGCACACGCACACACAGACACACACACGCACACACAGACACACACACGCACACACACGCACGCACAGAGGAGTAAGATGAAAAGCTGTTCTCGTCTGTGAAACATCTGTACTTGCCGTTTGTTTTCTGATTGTTGGAGCACATTAACGACATTTATCTGACTGTTCATTACACTTTCTTTTACAACACGACAGTTTACCCACAATGCAGCGTTCACGTACCTCTCCATTCAGGAAGCAGTAGAGCAGAGCCACGCCGAATCCCTGCGGAGCAGAAAACATGTTTAGATGTTAAAAATGAAAAGTAAGGTGGACGCCACGAAACAAGTTGAGACACACCGGTCCCACGTGGGGAAATAGTTTTGTCCCAGATGTTTTGCAGGATATTTATCTGTAATTTGAGCCAATTACTAAATCAATCAATGTCGTGTATAAGGAGACGTAACGTAGGTGGCGACAACTGAACGCTCGAGAAACCAAAACTCACCTGAAAGGATCCAACACCGAGCTCGATGAAGAGTCGGGCCTCTGCTCCGGTGTTTTCTGGCAGGAAGGCAAACAGCATGTAGTGCATCCCGAACAGAGGGATGAGGAGCAGCGTGGATTTGGCCAGTCTCCTACACACACACACACACACACACACACACACACACA